TGTTTCAGAGACAGAGGAGGTAGCATTTAAAGGATTTTGCCACCATCAACAAAAAAAGGGCAACAGAGGTTGTCCATTTCTCTTTTGCCTCTTAACATCTCTCCCTCCCTCTCCACTCTCTCACTCCCTCTTTCCCCAGAGGATAAGCAAAGAGGGATTTGCCTCAGAAGCAACAAGGTAAGCGATGAAAAACTTGCATGTTTTTTTTTTCTGTATATGTATGTAAATATTCTTAATATTTGATTCGCTGAATGAGCCGTCAATGTAGTGTGAATGGAAGTTATTTTATGACGAGCATTACAGAAATTTCGGTCCCACTTTAGATTAGGGTTCTCTCAAGGGAAAGAGGGATTTGCTGGGAAAAGAGGGACACTTTTGTACCCTAAACTTGTGTTTCTGATTTTTTTTAATGACTATCTAATCTGGAATATCCTAAAGTTAAAATGTCTCAGTGGGACAGGTTTCTCTTTTTCAGTATATTGAATTATAACGAAAAGGCCATATAGCATCTGTATTGAAGTTCTCTGTGCGAAGAAAATAATAAACAAATTGACATAAATATAAAGAAAATCTAGGTAACACTTTACAATAAGGTTTCATTTGTTAACATTGTAATGATTTATATATTTACAGGCCTATATATTTTTATGAGTTAACTACATTAGTTAACATTAAAGTTGCTGCAACATTTATTATTCTTACTAATATATTTTTACGTTCAAATGTTCTGTTCGAATTAGTTAATGTACTAACATGAACATTTTTTATTGACTGACACTAACAAAGATTTAATAATCTTCAATAATGCAGTAAAATATATTCCCCGTTTGTTCACGTTACTCAATGCATTGGCGAATGTTAATAAATTAGATCGTATTGTGAGTGATTACTGAAATCGATTATTGTGAAGCTTGAGTATGCTAATTTGCACATTTATAAAAAATAAATAAATCAGTGTTTAAATTGAGTAACTGACACTGCACTTAAAATTTTAAAAGTTCACTTTAAAATAAAATTGCTGATAATTTACTCACCCCCATGTCATCCAAGATATCCATGTCATTCTTTCTTCAGTCAAAAAGAAATTAAGGTTTTTGATGGAAACATTCCAGGATTTTTCTCCATATAGGCTAATTCACGTTACTGGTAACCAGTAACCAAGTTTTATAAGCTCAAATGGTCACCTTGCTCTGTTCTGTGATGCGCATTTCCTGTTCGAACTCGTTCATAAAAATGAACAAATCTTTTTTCGTGTCATTTGGTTCATTCAACGAACGAAATGAACGAATTGACTCGGCAAAAGATTCGTTCATTTTGATTCATGAACGTGCAGAGTAGGCGACCATGTGAAACGTAAACTTAAACGTAAAAAAAAAAAAAAAAAAGCGATCTTTTCTCTTGATAAGACCCTTATTTCATCGTCTGGAAACATCTGAAAATCCTGGAATGTTTTCATCAAAAACTTTAATTTATTTTCGACTGAAGAAATGGATATCTTGGATGACATGGGGGTGAGTAAATTATCAGCAAAAGTTTTTTTTTTAAAGTGAACTACTCCTCTAAGGCAGTAACTTTGATATTTAAGTAATTTCAACTTAAATCAAAAACTAGTTGAATCTTGTATATAATAGTTTGAATTATATATTTATCACACTTTTGTGTACACATGAATTTGTGTACAGTATAAGCACCTGTATGTGAAAAATCAAAACTTTTTCATGACTCGTTTCTCATATCTCTTTAGTGTTTATCTCCTTGCATAGTCGCAGCGTGTGTCAGGATGTACAGCTTTATGGGCGGCGGCCTGTTCTGTGCCATTGTGGGGAACATCCTAATAGTGGTCTCCACGGCAACAGATTATTGGATGCAGTATCGCCTCTCGGGCAGCTATGCCCATCAGGGCCTGTGGAGGTACTGCATGGCCAACAAGTGCTACATGCAGACAGCAAGTATAGGTAAGCACATTTTACTCATGCAAAACATATGTTTACATGTCTATAATTTGCTCTATCGCTATTTTTAAAGTCCCCCATTACATTATACAAGAATTTTGGCACCTGCATTTGAGCTTTGAGACCATTTTTTGCCTGTAGATGGCAGTGGTTTCTTCTTTTTGCTATGCAGAGCTCCATACAGTGGTTTGTGTTGCACATTCATATTCTGAACAGGCGCTCCAAAGTGGTCTAATAAGATGGCATCTGAGATTGCAGGAACTGCACTGTGGTTAGTTCAAGGTGATTCCGCAGGGACAGTTTTTTAAAGATCAAATGAGAAAAATCATTTCTGGGGGGATGATAATGATGATAATAGGAAAAAACCCATCTTTAGGCTTGCTTTAAGAACATGTCTCGTCTCTTTCCTCAGCATATTGGAATGCCACACGGGCATTCATGATCCTCTCAGGAATGGCGTGCTTTGCGGGCATCATGGCAGGCATCCTCTCGTTTGCCCATTTTTCTGCCTTTGAGAGATTCAGTCGTTCCTTTGCTGCAGGAATCATGTTTTTCATCTCCAGTAAGTCATAAACATATGCAAAACGAGCTGTCACATTTTAGCATATTTAAATGTGAATAAAAGGTCAAGGTCAAATTTTTCAATCCATTGCTTTGTTCACACCCAGCTCTGTTTGTTCTGCTGGCTATGGCGATCTACACTGGCGTAACCCTAAGCTTCCTGGGCAAGCGTTTCGGAGACTGGCGCTTCTCCTGGTCCTACATACTAGGATGGGTGGCCATGCTCATGACCTTCTTTGCAGGTGATAAAACATAGAAGCTCTTCAATCGTAGAACAGAAGGAGTGTTAAAAGTAATGAAATGTTCTAGTTAGTGTGCAGAATGTAAAGAATCAAGGACATGTGCATGCCTCAGGATGTGGTTGAAAGACCTTATAGACCTCATGATGAAGTTCTGCTATACATGCAGACCAAACTCATGAGAAAATGGGTAACCCTTAACAAAAAGGTTCAACATTAGTTATAGTTAACATGAACTAATAATTAACTGCACTTTTACAGAATGTATTAATCTTTGTTAATGTTAATTCCAGCATTTACTAACTATTAAAATACATTAACTAATGTTAACAAATGAGACCTTATTGTAAAGTGCAAAAAAGCATAAATAAATGAATCATCCTCATTACTTATATATATCCTATAAGTGGTTATTTTAGCCTATTCATGGTCTTGAAGAAATGCTCACACTTGTTTGCATGTTTGTGATTTGGAAATTGTCTGTTGCAGGGATATTCTACATGTGTGCTCACAGGATGTATGAATCCAGGAGAGTGGTTGGAAGTCGTTAACCTAAAGCAATTGAAAGATTTGGCCCGGAAATCATCAGATCTATGAGGATTGCTTAACATTATGCCTTAAAACACTCATCTGCAAAACTACACCATCTCAATAGCCTAAACCCCACATTAAAGGACTTTTTTTACACATGCAAATATATTTGTATAATTCTGCACCGATATACCAGTTTTCACAAATGTTTATTTCACTTTTCATAATTTTTTTTCAATAAAAATCCACATCAAATCAAATTATTTTCTGTGTTTAAGTTCCTCTCTTGATATATCGGAATATATTTATGACCTCACATTACTTGCTAGTTGTTTTTAGAGCATCTGTCCATGCAGTTAGAAGAAGTTAGAGATTTCACATGTAGTTATGTAACTACTGTTTTTGTTTTGCAACATAGTTTTACCTTAGCCTCTTTGCGTTTAAGCATTTATTTCGCAATGTGGCCTTAAGTATCAGACTGACAGTTTCACACTTGCAGCTTAATTTCCTAGTCAGCAAGTGGGGAGCATCCTGTGTTAAACACTGTGTATGTGTGAAAAAAAAAAGAAAAAAAAAATATATAATATGTGTTTGAATGTTTTATTTTTCTCCCATGGTAATTATTCAGAGCTTTACTTTCATCATGTCAGCAGTTTTTTTAAATGCACAAAAAGTAGGCTAATATATAAACGCATTGCCTCAGAATTATCTGGATTTTTATTCATAGAAATGAGATAAGATCCTTCCTGTTCTGAATTCTTCTGAATTCTTTAAATAAAACTTTTTACCAAGTTAGTTCAAAAAAGAAACAGCTGGCTTCAAATACTTAAAAATGCAATTAATTTCCTCGTTTGGGGTTTCTTTGAAGAAGGTCACATGTTTTAAAGTAAGATAAAGTGGTTCCATATATTCTGCATCTTTACAAAACATAGTGAACAACGGAAAACTTTGAAAACTCAGTTGTGCCATTAGGACTTGGAGAAATGTTTGTGTATGTAACATTTTATCACAAGAAACATGAATTGGGAAAACATTGATGACAGGTGATGAGATTTCAGGAAACATGTTAATTCAGTCCCCACAACAACAACATACGTTGTTCCTGTTTAATTCAAGGTTATGTTAAGCGATAAACAAATCTATTCACCAAGTGTTGTCCTGACTAGTCAAACACATTTGAATAAAGAATTTCAAATTGTCAAAGAAAACAACAACAACAACAAAACATTATTTTTTACCATAAAAAGCACCCTATTTTTAACTTTTGTCAACAATTCCTTAATTGTTTACACTGTAAAAATGAATACGCTTTATCTAATCAACAAATTTGTGGCAAGAGATTACAAGCAATATTATTAATTAAATTCAACAAATTACAATTGAGTAATCAAATTATTCCTCAAAAGTTAACCATTTAAAAAGAGTAACGTTTAAACCAAAAAATAAACAAAATATCTGAATAACAGACAGATGTCAAAGATTAATTAAGAACTCTTTATTGCCAACATTGAAGACACCTGATGTTAACAAGCAGAATCACTGAAGGATAAACCTAAAAAAAAAAAAAAAAAACACTGATCACCATAATAGCGACTTAAATGTAAGTTTTTTTTTTTTTAAGTTTTATTCATTTTAAATGGTTTACTTTTAAAGAATTAATTTAAATAATTATTACTCAATTCTAATTTGTTAAATTGAATTAATAATATTGCTTGTAATCTGTTGCCCCAATTTGCGCATTCATTTTTACAGGTTAAATGTTGCTGTATTTCAGTAGAAAAGTACAGCTCCCATTATTATGGGGAAAGGCTGATAGTTCCAATTGGACAATATAATGGTGAATTAACTTTTCTTATTTGGATCTGGGTTCATTTTTTAAATATATGTCTTTAGATTGAACCTGCAGAGCACGCAAAGCAGGCAGCATAGGATAATTTTAACGCTATAAATCTCATCTAAAAACTAAAAAAACATAAAAAGCAGGATATACATTGCAAGATATACATTTTGTTTCTATTTACAATGACAAACTGGATAGGCTATAGGGAAAAAGTTTCAAGAACAAATTTCTCTTAAACATTAGTCATATGCACAGTGTCAGCAGTCTTTGAAAAAGAATTACAGCTTCCGTTCCTTATGCGTTCCTGAGACTGCATGAAGTGACTTTCCTCCATAAGAGCTCTATGAAAAATCCCTGACAGGTTTTGGTTACATTGCCGTCTAACATCCAGTCCCATGCAGAAGTACAGCACTGGGTTAACGCAGCTGTTGAAATAGGCTAAGTTCGAAGCCAAACTCCATCCTATTTTTACTGACGTGTTGTCTGTATGCGCCAATTTGACCAGTCCTAGAAAGTGGTAGGGGGCCCAACATAGGAAAAAAGCACTGACCACTACAGCAAGAATCCGCAGAGGCCTCGATTTGCCAGAGAGCCGCGTCCTGCGTATCCCAACCGCAGCTAGTATGTAACTGATAAGGATGACCATGAAGGGCAACAGGAATCCACAGATGAAACGAATAAAGTAGTACGCATTCTCTGCTCTTCCTTTCTCCTGTAAATGAAATCACAAATTTATTCATATATTTTCTATAGATGCAGATGTGTGAGTAAAAACTAATCACTCAGGCATTTGTGCAGCCTTTCTGACCTTCAGTGAGCACTTGGTCAAGTTGTTGTCACCAGGGTAGACCTGCCGGTACACAAAGAACGGTGAACTAAAGATCACGGCCACAATCCAAACTCCCACACTGACCACACGAGCTGCACATAACGTCCGTCGTTTCCTGGTGAACACTGGGCGGCAAATGCAAAGCGCTCGATCCACACTGATGACAGCCAGAAGGAAAACACTGCAGAACATGTTGGCGTACTTGAAGAAACCATTGAACTTGCAGAGAAAGACTCCAAAAGGCCAGTAGTCAAAGAAAAGGCTTGAGATTGATAGGACTCGTGTCAGGCAGAAGATCAGGTCAGCTACAGCGAGGTTGACCAACCACACATTAGTGACACTGGGCTTCATGCGGAAGCTGGCAACCCAGATGACCACAGAGTTCCCAGTGGAGCCGAAGAGAATGATGATGGAGAGGAAGACAATGCTGACTGCTTTTGTAATGGCTTCAGGGTCCACTGTAGTGTTCTCATGCTGGTTTGAGACCTCAGAGTGGGCATAATGGGGAAGTGTTGTATTAAAAGTCATTCTACAACCAAGACAAACAAAAACATTAATGATCCTTCAGTTCATTCATGATGTCTATTTGTAAGGCAACTAGGCAGACTAATTTTCTAAAATGTTCAAAGAGATATTCAATATCAAAAAATGGTAAATGGACTGCATTTATATAGCGCTTTCATAGACCTAATGGCCACATTTTGCCTCACATTCACCCATTCATTCATACACCGTCGGTTTATATTCTTGTATCAATATTTTCATTTAATATCAATATAAATGTTGCACATGGAAGATGCACCATTATCTGTGTCAGACAAAAGGAAACCCTTGCGTGATTGCTACACCACAAGTGTATTGTTGTAAACTTGTGAACGAGAAGTGTAAACTCGAAGTGTTAAAACCTGATATAATGCACAAAAGCGTACAGAATAAATCTGTAATGCATTAAACAAAGTAATTATATGTTACCAGTTATTAAAGAAATTGGAGGCAGTACTGTACATTAATTAAGAATACAATGTGACACTTTCAGAAATATATGAAGAGTTCAGATGCAAAAGCCTCTAAATGCCATTTGAAATTGTCTTCAAAAATGACCATTTTTATCAAGCTTGTATATTTAAGTTCAGTAATTTCACTTAAATGACAATTAATAGGTAATCATCATTGCCATTTAAGTGAAATTACTGAACTTAAATATACAAGCTTGATAAAAATGATCATTTTAGAAGAAAATTTCAAATGGCACTTAGAGGCTTTTGCATCTGAACTCTTCATAGGCCTATATATATATTATTTTTCCCTGATAGTGTCAAATATTGCATGGCCTGGAAAATAAATAAATGAAAAATGAATAAATAAATGCATAAAAAAATATTAACTTTTAATAATCTGTGAACGATTAGATATGGGTGTCTTACCTTACACAGCAAGTGTTTTTACAAAACTGAAACACTGCTGAAGTTATCCTTCATGAAGGAGTCAAAGGAAGCGTGACTAATAAAGTTATATTTTTCGATGCCAATTAATAAGTCAGGAAGTGGTTCGTTGACATCACACCAGGGTGTGCTCATCTGTGCTTTTCAGTAACTTTTCTAGTTATTAATATGAATATTTTCTGCAAACAAAGAGGAGACAAGCAGGAAGGGGGAGGAGACATTAACAAGTGCATCTTATCTATGTATCTATCCGTCACGACCCTATGTATGTGTTTACTTTTTTTATATTCTTGTACTGCCTGTGTTCAGTATCAGTGTGTTAAGTTCCACCAGAAAAATTCAGAACAAATACTGTAACAAGTATTAACAGCTCAGCAAGCACAATTTGGCGTAGGCCCTGTCCGTAGCTCGCATTCCCAGGGTACAGAATCTGCATTTCCTGACTGAAGACGAAGGCAGGGGCGCAATCAACCCCCTAGGAGATATACGAAGGGAACATCTTGGTGGTGGTTGGGAGGATGGAGATGAATGAAGGTGTCAGCATCTGTGAACTCAGACATGTGTAAGTTTCGATCTTTTACAAGTATTAGTAAACGTTGAAATTAACTAATAAATGCTTTATAAGTATTGTTCATTCTTTGTTCATGTTAGTTGACTAATGTAAACTAATGATCCATATTGTAAAGTGTTACAGATTATTTTAATTACTTTGCAGTGTATCAATAAATACTGTATATACTTGCAATGATATAGGGCAACACTACAATTAGTTGATTTATTTCAGTGTGCTCAGCTTAGCCATGCCATGAGGACCCAAATGTTTTGGTTTTTCAATTATCACAGAAGACATTTGAACTGGGAAAACGTGGTGTGGCCTTTTTGTTAACTGCAGATAAACTGAAGCCTTTTTTTTTCGTAGGCATGTATTTATTTCACAGGTAAATATTACAGAAATAATAGAAACAGAGTGATAAGTAAACACAGATGGACCCCAATCATCATGCAGACATGGTTTAAAATTGTGTCCCTTTCCATATGTTAGGTCAATAACAATTTCCTCTTTTCGCCTCAGATAGTCTTATCTACATCATCCTAATAATTAACAAACCTAGACATAGGCTGACATAAGCAATCTTTAAAATGAACTGTTGCATAAACACACATAAATTATAAGCAGTCTTTAAAATCCACTGTTGCATAAACATACATCAATTATATTACATATAATACATTACATACATGTTATTACATGTAATACATTACAAATTATTTTCATTTTAATTGTAAAATATTTCATATAGGCTCAACTTCTTATTAAAGAAGAGCACGCTCTGAGGTACAATCATTTTTTCATTCTGTAAGATATGATATATATATACATATATATATATATATATATATATATATATATATATATATATATATATATATATATATATATATATATATATATATATCGGGTTTCGGTACCCATCCCTATATATATATATATTAAAAATACGTTTAAATTGTTAATTGATGGACTGGTTAATGAGTATGCTCCCAATTATTGTGGATTCCTCTCAGGTGTGTATGCCATGTGATGTTCTGTACCAATAAATGATTTGATCGTGTTCTTTCACTGCAACCTATGTGAAGTATAATTCTCTGTCTTTAGTCGGTATCCAGTCAAGCTTTGTTTAACAAATGTTATGCTATTTGACAGACATGATAAACGAACTATAATAATAATAATAATAAACTTTATTTTATATTGCACCTTTAAAAAGTATCTCAAAGTGCTTCACAAAAATAGAAACATAATAAAACATAAACAATGCATTTCTGACAGAAAAATGCAATAACATACAAACTAAACAATGCTACCCCAAACAAATGCCTAATCTCAATAGGCAAGGAATACCAAAGTTTTGGAGCATTCGACAAAAAGGCCCTATCGATCATGGATTTTAGTCGGGCGTCATATAACTGACGTCTTGGGATGTCTTTTGACCATAAGTCAACATCCGCCTTTTTAGGATACCCTTAAACATCGGTTAGATGACGATCCCGGGCCGTCATACAACTGACGCTTTACCTTTAACGTCGGTTAGGTGACCGGGTAGGTTTAGGTCTGGGGTAGGGTTAGGGTCCGATAACGTCATCTAACCGACGTTTAAGGGTACCCTAAAAAGGCGGATGTCGACGTAAAGACGTCCCAAGACGTCAGTTTTATGACGTCTTGGGATGAGACTGCGAGATAACATGCTGGTGTGTAGGTTAAAAGTTCAGTTAGATAATGAGATAAGTAAGCATTAAGATTTTAAAAATCAATCCCTTGTCCTGTTTCCAGAATTTTGTACCCACTTGTTAAGGGTAGTTTGTTAAGGGTAGCTTTTGAAACCCCAGACAACAAAGCATTACAGTAATCTATACGTGAAAAAACAAAAATGCTAATTAGCTTCTCAGCCACTGGGAGTGACAACATGGGACGCAATCTGGCTATATTTTTGAGATGAAAAAAAGATGTCCTGACAGTGCTCTGAACATGAGGAACACATGTCAAATTATTATCAAATATCACCCCCAGATTTTTTTAATTTAGTCTGAAATTGAAGTATAAAACCTTCTACACTAAAAGTGGGTGAACCAGCCTTCCGTAGCTGATGAGGTAAACCAATGAGCATTACTTCCGTCTTGTCACTGTTTAGACATAAAAGTGAAAACTGAGTCCAAGTGATCTTAAAAGTTGACCAAGAGGATAAATGTATAGGTTAAAAAGTATAGGGCCCAGGATAGAACCTTGAGGGACACCAGAATGTACGACTACACCAATAGCAGATCTGAAACCACCCATAGCAACAAATTGCTTTCTATCAGAAATATAGGACCTACACCAGCTTAGTGCAGTATCCAAAACACCAAAAACAGATTCTAACTGAGCAAGTAAAATATTATGATCAACTGTGTCGAAAGCGGCACTAAGATCAAGAAGAACAAAAATAGAGAGACTGCCAGAATCAGAAGCGATTAAATCATTAGTAACCTTAACTAATACAGTCTCAAAGCTGTGTAGTTTATGGAATCCTGATTGAAGGGGCTCATAAGAAAGGGAAGATTGGAAATGGAACGGAAATTATTTAGATTGTCAACGTTTGTGTTTTTTTTTTTTTTTTTGGTACAGGAGTCAAAGCAGCAGTTTTAAATGTTGTTTTGACCACACCAGTGCATAGAGAATCATTTATAATAAAATTGCAAAACATGATTGGAACAGAATAGTTGGTACAGGATCAACTATGGAAGTGGCAGCTTTCATTTTTGAAACCTCGTCACAAAGAGAATGAAGGTCCAATATGGAAAAATTGGACCTTCCTTGGAATATAAACTCTTAAAAAAAGTTTTTAGATACACTTGTGCTTGCAGTGTTTGGAATGGAATTATATTTTTCGTCCCAAGTGTCCCGCTGGGTTTGACCTTCCTCCATAAAAGCTCTATGACAAATCCCAGACAAACTTTGGTTGCATCGTTGACTAAACTTCAGCCCCATGCAGAAGTACAGCACTGGGTTAATGCAGCTGTTGAAATAGGCTAAGTTTGAAGCCATTTTCCATCCTACTTTTACCAGCTTGTTGTTTTTATCCACCAATTTGACCAGTCCTAGAAAGTGGTAGGGGGCCCAACATAGGAAAAAAGCACTGACCACTACAGCAAGAATCCGCAGAGGCCTCGATTTGCCAGAGAGCCGCGTCCTGCGTATCCCAACCGCAGCTAGTATGTAACTGATAAGGATGACCATGAAGGGCAACAGGAATCCACAGATGAAACGAATGAAGTGGTAAGCATACTCTGCTCTTCCTTTCTCCTGTAAATGAAATCACAAATTCATATTCACATATTTTTCTATAGTACATGCAGTTTCTCCTGCAAATTAATTTATAATTATATATTAATAATAACAAAATCAGATTTTTTTAATGCAGTAATTTTTTTAAGCCATTCTGACCTTCAGTGAGCAGTGGCTCAGGTTGTTCTTGCCAGGGTAGACCTGCCGGTACACAAAGAACGGTGAACTAAAGATCACAGCCACAATCCAAACTCCCACACTGACCACACGAGCTGCACATATCGTCCGTCGTTTCCTGGTGAACACTGGGCGGCAAATGCAAAGTGCTCGATCCACACTGATGACAGCCAGAAGGAAAACACTGCAGAACATGTTGGCGTACTTGAAGAAACCATTGAACTTGCAGAGAAAGACTCCAAAAGGCCAGTAGTCAAAGAAAAGGCTTGAGATTGATAGGACTCGTGTCAGGCAGAAGATCAGGTCAGCTACAGCGAGGTTGACCAACCACACATTAGTGACACTGGGCTTCATGCGGAAGCTGGCAACCCAGATGACCACAGAGTTCCCAGTGGTGCCAAAGAGAATGATGATGGAGAGGAAGACAATGCTGACCTCATTCATGATGACTTCGATGTCCACTGTAGTGTTCTCATGCTGGTTTGAGACCTCAGAGTGGGCATAATGGAGAAGTGTTGTGTTGGAAGTCATTCTACAACCAAGACAGACAAATCAGTAAATGTTCCTTTAGTTTAAACATCTGTCTTGACGTTCATTTTTAAGACAACTTGGAAGACTTATTCGGCATAGGTTTGCTCAGAAAATTCTAAAATGCTCAAATGTATAATATTTTGTCGTTGTAACCTGCTGATATGTATCATGCAGTAGAAACTTTTCACTGAAACAGTAGATCACTTCTGGTATTGTGAGTGTTGATGAAAGCACATTCGATCACAAAGATAGCAATAACAAGGGATGCATCGATGTATCAGCCACTTGTACCGTCCGTTTGTTTAAAACTGCTGATGATCAGGGACGATTCACACAAAACTATCAGAACTATCGTTAGGCTATCGTTATCAGTATTGGCAGATTGTCATTCTAAATAATCGGATATCAGTATCCTGCCACATACATTTTATATTGGTGCACCAAAAATAACAAGGTCAGTTATAGATTTCAAATTACTCTGAAATCACGATACAAACATTTAGGATTTCATAAATCATAGTTACTTAGTCCCATTGTTGTTGTTGTTGTTTTTAGCAAAACTGTTGCCCTGCTTCAGATATGTTAGCTGTATCAAAAACTGAAGCTTGCATAAGAAAAATGTTGAAATTAACATTAACAAGGATTAACAAATGCTGAACATAATAAGTTCTTGTTAAAGGGATACTCCACTTTTTTTGGAAACATGCTCATTTTACCACTCCCCCAGAGTTAAACATTTGAGTTTTACCGTTTTCGAATGTATTCAGCCGATTTTCTGATATTTAGAAGAATATCAGTAACCAGGCGGTTTCTGGTCTCATTGACTTCCATAGTAGGAAAAAAATATACTATGGAAGTCAATGAGACCAGAAACTGGCTGGTTACTGATATTCTTCTAAATATCAGAAAATCGGCTGAATGCATTTGAAAGTGGTAAAACCGAACTGTTTAACTCTGGGGGAGTGGTAAAATGAGCCTATTTCCAAAAAAAGTGGAGTATACCTTTAACTAATCTAGTAAACTAATATTAACTAATGAAACCTTATAGCAAAGTGTCATTGTAATAATAATAATATTAATTTGACAAATTTGGTACAAAACGAGGACAGAAATAGAGATAATCTTTGATGTAGAATTGATGTAGATGTTCTTACCTGTACACATCAGTGTTTTCACAAATCAAACCAATCCATCAATCTTGAGGGGGAAAAAACAGCGAAATCCTTGGTAAATGATTCAATAGGAGCTGTGTATAACTATTAAAATATCATTTTGCTATGCTTAAACAATAAATCTGTGGCTAGTTCATTGATATTGCAGTTGCTCTCTTCCTTTTGCTCCTTAGCCTAAAAGAAGACAGATCCCTGAAGACAGATAAGAGAAATAGGAAGGGGGAGGAGACTTACACGAACATAAATATATAATTTTATTTTTACATTAACAGAATTGTTGTAAGTGAAGTGTGGTTTTGGCACAATCATATATTATTTATATAAACAACCTGACTGTACTTTGTTGAATGAGAACTGAACTGAATGATGACATCATTTTTTGTAGAACTGCTTAGAGATGAAATGAACTAATTTAATAATTGAAGAGCTTTACAACAGAACTGATTCAACACTGAACTGACTTCAGCTGAACAACAGCCGTATTGCATAATTTTCCTGTTTTCAAAGTATAACTTTGAAACATTTTAGGCATTGAAATATTGTGTTAAAGTGCTATATAAATAAAGGTGACTGTACTTGACATGGCATATTTAAAATACAAAGAAACAAGTCCGAAGTCTGTACTTTTGACAACATTACACAGGATATAGCCTCAAATCCAAGGTCAGGGGATTATGCTGTCAAAAATATACAACACAGTTTTCGTTGTTTTCAACAATGATATTTTTGGTTCCCAAAAACACAAACCTTTGACAATAGGATTCAAATGGCAAGTTTTAGGAAACACTACCTTTATCATCTCTGTGTAAACTACAAAAATGCAAATTTGTGACAATGTTAACATCACGCACATGCATATTACGTGTTCAATATAGGCACATTGTTTTTTCTTTACAAAGTAACATCGCCAACTACTGGCCTGGCAGTAAGGTTTGTGAACCAAGGGGGTAATCCATCAACCAGAAGTTGAAGTCTTGTGGAAGCCGCCATTTTAGCAGAACTTTACCTGCTGTTAGCATTCCACTGACTCCCATTCATTTTGGTGTCACTTTGACAGCGAATACTGTCTATGAGGCAATCGGGGGGACATGGAGACACTAAGTAAAGAGAAGCCCAGAGAGTCCATAAAAGCAACGGAACAAAATATTTCAACAACGTTTTTGAGGAATTGGGAATTGGGCTCGAAGATTTACAACTGTCACACTGTCATCACACTCAGTTTGAGCCTTCACAAACTGGAAGTGCAATAATCTGGCTTCAGTCTTCTCTGTTGAAATCAATGGGGTCACTGTGTCCTTTTCTTTTACTGTCTATGGTGTGAACGGGAATAGTTTTGACAACAGAGAAAAACGTTTCCCATTTTAGTAGGCTACATCATTATAGCGTATAGATTACCTTAATCAGATGGGTATACATGGAAATGTATTTAAAATAAAACATACAAAATACTGTGTGTGTGGGAAAAAAATAAATAAATACAAATGCAGTATTGTAAAAATAATATACAAAATACATATGAAATTGGCCATCCAGCAGGTGAATGAAGAAACTACAAAGGCCTACTGACTTTTAATTCCTAACCTTATCTCTGCCCTCTCTTTTTTTTCTTTCTTTCCTGCTGGCAATTACAAACAAACTTATGCAAAATAGTAGCCTGGTTTCTAACCAGGTTACAATGTAGCCTATTATTTGTAGAGAACACTATTAAAAATGTCATACTGTACTAGTCTATGTAAAACTGTGGGAACCTTTTCTGCTATACAAAGAATAGGCCTATACCTATGGCCTATACATTTGCTTACCCCACAAATAGGCCTATGCATGTAAGTTATGATTTAGAAAAAGTTCCATATCATCGCTATGATAGTGTCATGTCACCCAGTTACAGTAACATGCAAAAACCACATTTCAACACAATTCATACTTTGCAGTCACGTGACTACCATGGAAGCCTCATGCCTGGGGGGCGACAAATGGGTATTTTCAACAGAGTCTTAGTTCCAGGTCTTTCTAGTAGATATCAAGTCTATCAAGTTAGCTGTGTAAAGCAGACAAGGTTTATATATATATATATATATATATATATATATATATATATATATATATAATCGAGCAGTAATAATTCAAGCTCTACTATGCTCATAGAAAACCATAGATAACACAAACGTCAAAACAACCTATCATCACACACTTTTATCACAACGTACAACATCATAACACAAACAGCTGACTCGCTGAACCAGCTGGTGGCGTTGATTGACAGAAAGTACAGGTTAACTTAAAGACACGATTAATTACATGATCATTCACCCATTCATTGTATAAAAAAAGAAATTACCTTGAGTGATGATCACTGCACAGACGTGTAACGTTATAACGTTACTGTGAAGGTTGATCATCTCATCTGGTTAGCGCAACCAATCGCACAACAACTATTTGGCGTGTCATTTATACCTCGAAACACCAACTTTTGTATAAAAACTGGCGACGTCCTGGCAAGATCCTTTACTAATACTGGGTTTCGTTGCTGGAGAACGGCATTCTTGCCACCAGCCAAGGTAGCCTACTTGTGACGTCAGGTGGAAAGTATGAATTGCCGTTTAAAAATCAACACCAACAAAATAAATAAATAAAATAAAAATAAAAATCAACAACCGGGCAAGACTGATTGG